AAAAATGATTACTCATCTCCTTTTCAAAAAGTATATAAGACAGCGTAAATGTCTGTGGGATTTTTCAGAAAATAAATTGAAGAAGGTTAACAAATGGAAATCAAATGAGTGACACAGGAATTTAGTTTAATCGATACATTTGTGTCACGTTAATTGAGGCACCTAAAGATAGTATGTGATAGAATCATGTTAATAAACAATAATATTGGAACAGTATGAATTATTTGAGCTTGTAGGCATTCCCCCAATTTGCAAATTTTCCTGCACATGCAGCCCTCTGATAAAAAATTTAGTAGCATGAAGGAAACCAATAAGAGACCACACTTTCTATTTATTCAAATTTCTTTTTACTCTTGGCTAAAATTATCTTTTAACTTCCTGTGAGGAACGCTGTGCCAATGGGGTCTTTCTTTTCCCTTCCAGACATTTTCTCTCTTGGACTCCATGAAATGACTTTCTCTTTGCCTCTCACTGTTCCTTCCCTTCCTGTCTTTTAGACATTATCATTCCTATGAAGTCCCTTCTCATCTCAATTTTCACCTATTCTGTTCCTGTTGGTCTCGAGGCTTCCATTAAGATTTTAGTGTCACTCACCTGAGTCTTGGGCCTTTTGTTAAGTCCTAAATCATGCACAGAGTTGAACTCATCTTCTTTCCCCACAACCCTGCCCCTCTCCTTCCTCTTTAGTGAAGTGCTGGGTCTACCTCGTCACCTTCATATCAGTCATTCTATGCACCTCCTTCTCCCCAGACCCAAGTCATCAAGTCCTGGAAACCCTTCCCTCTTAATAGGGAAGATACCTCTCACTCTGCTCCATCCTCTTTATCCCTGCCACTGTTGATTGGGTGGCAAGCACAACCTTCTACCTTTTCTTGTGAAAATGAAAATCTGAACACCTTTCCTTGCTTGAAGATCCTGTGGGATAGCTGGGCATGGTGGCTCACGCTTATAACTCTAGCACTTTCAGGGGCTGAGGTGGGTGGATTTCTTGAGCTCAGGATTTTGAGACCAACCTAAGCAAGAGTGAGACTCTGTCTCTATTAAAAATGGAAAAACTACCCAAGTATTGTGGTGGGCTCCTATAGTTCCAGCTACTTGGGAAGCTGAGGCAAGGGGATCACTTGAGCCTAAGAGTTTGAGGTTGTTGTAAGCTATGATGCCATAGCACTCTATCCAGGACAACGAAGTGAGATTCTGTCTCAAAAAAAAAAAAAAAAAAAGATTCTATGATTCTATGATAAATTGTGGCTTCTTGTCCTGGCATTCAAGGGTTTTGATGACTTAGCTCTTAAAGATCCTTATAGATGTCCCCAGTGTCTGCTAAATGGAATATCAGCTCCATGGGTTATTAAAAGCATTATGTGGAAAAAAAAAAAAGGAGTCCAATTAAGTTTGGAAAACTCATTTTTAAAACAAAACAGTTCTCAGTGTTGCAAGATTTTAAATATTCTCATGGTCATTGTAAATCTCCACAAGGAAAAAAAAAATAATATATATATATATATATAAAATGCAGTATTTCCCAGTCTTATTTGGGCATAGAACACCATTTCTCCTGAAGTCACAAAACCAAGATTGTGTGGGACACATCCTGGTAAACACTATAGTCAAAGCACAACCCAAATGTAAAGTTTGGCCAGACTGGCCATACTCAGCCTCTCCCAGGCCTAGAATAAGCTATGTGGGTTGTTCCCAGATGCCCTAAGTATGTAGTTTCAATGCGAGTTCTTCATGTTGGATGCCGACACTAGGCTTTATGCAACTATGAACAGGGGCATCAGACAGCCCTGGTGGCACAGTAAATAATAGATCTGGCTGACTTAGCATGCTAAAGGAATTTTGCAGGAGTTTTGGGGTGACATGGTCATCCCCCACTTGAAGTTACTGAGGCCTGGTAAAATTTTGCCTGATTATTCTCCCAACACTAGCATATACAGAGACTTAAGAACCTATGCACACAAAACATTCCCAGGCTGACACATATACATTCTTTGCACAGATCAGTATTCTATAGTTTTTATGAGGTGCATGTGTCAGGATTTTTTATGCCATGCCTCCACCCGACGCTATGCCACCTCTGCTTCAATCATTGTCACACACAGTATTTCCCAGCCACATCACATTGGTTAAGTGATGGAAAGTCAAGCTTCTGGGCCTTTACTCACATCTCTCCTTCTATCTGGAATGCTTAAGAATGAATGGATATGGTCATCATCTCCTTTCATATCACTTCTATTTTTCTAATACTACTGAAAATTAAAAAAATCCATGCGTGTATGAATGCTAGACAGAACCACATATGGAAGTGCTTATAAAAAATTGCTGATATTAATCACATCTTTTATGTCACTATAACTATTTTTATAATGATCTCTTTTATACTATGTTTCTGGAAGGAAATAATGAATATTTTGAAGAAGTCAGTTCTTCCCATCTAAATATGTAGGTTTAAGGTACTTCCTTCAAAATCCTAACATTTTATTTCCTTCTAGGGGTGGGGAGTGCAGTTATGGTACAAAGAATTCTATAGTCTACCTCCAAACATGAAAAAGAAAATTTTCAAATAACTTTAAAAAGGAGAAAATAGAACTATCTCAGAAAAACTATTATAAAACTACAATTATTAATAGAATAGTGCTGGCTGATAAAGACAGGCAGATCCAGGGAACAAAATTTTCCACATTGATGTCACTTTGAGAAAAGTAGCAGTGTATAAAAAAATTGAAAAGGTACACTTTATCTGGTACATAAAATGACAAGTAAATAGTGAAGAGATGGTTTGCTCAAAATAGTCTTTGAAAAAATTGACTATATATTAAAAAAGTGCAAGTGGGGTTACTTTGACCACCATACCACAAGATAACACAAAATAAATTCCTGCTAGACTCAGGTCTCTACAAACAAACAAAAAACATCAAAAATAAATTGTGAAAGGATGTCTAGTTTCTGGATAAGAGAACAAAACATAGCAAGAACAGAAATCCAGCAGTAGATTTAAGTAATCATGAAAACAACTAAGTGAGAGAAAAGGTTGCTTGAACAAATGGACATAGCCACTAAGTTTCTGAATGAGAAAATACTAAGCAAGTGGCCAACTTCTCACAAATTAATTGATACATTTAAATGCAATCACAATATGTTGGTTTTTAGAAAATTACAAATTATTCTAAAAATCACCTATAGGAACAAACAGGAGTGAACAGAGAGAAACCCCCCCAAAACTTATAGTGGGTGTTCTGGCCCCGCCAGATAGTGTAATACTATAAAGCCATTTTAATTAAGCCCAAAGTGATTTGTAATGGAAGACTAGACAAACGAGTGAAGCAGAGAGGGAGGTTGAGGAACACAACATATCCAGGTGCATTAATTATGTGATATATTATCAAGTTAGAACAAGCTTTCTGGGAAAGTCATTTGGCCATATTTATTATGCCTATTAAATGCTCATACACTTATCCTTAGTAAGTCTAGAAATCTATCCTAAGGAATTAAGTGGGTATGGAAAAAGGTTTATTCAAACGTGTTTCTTCCATGTTTATATATTATCAAAATAAGTGTAGAAGTAACTTAAAATTGCCACACTACATAAAAACATACAGTAGAACAATATGCTGTTAATTAACTAAAAAGAAAACATGATTTAAAGACATGTAAAATATGGGGCGGCACCTGTGGCTCAAAGGAGTAGGGTGCCGGCCCCATATACTGGAGGTGGCGGGTTCAAACCCAGCCCTAACCAAAAAAAAAAAGACAGGTAAAATATGAACATTAGTCTAAATGGGGAAAAAATATAATAATGCCAAATTTCAGTTTAAAAAGAGAAAAAAGAATATAAAAAAAAGGGTCAGATAGAAATATGCCCAAATATTTGTAGTTGTTCCCACTGGGATTGTTTTTAGGGTTTTTTTTTTCCTTTCTATTCTCTAGATTTTTTACATTGTATCATCATCTAAATAAACATCACTCAATAAAATAAACTAAGTGTCGAGTATCCTTTAAGTCTTAACAGACTTCCTTTCATATAACACAAGATCCTTAATTCCAGTTGTCACACTGCGGTATTCATTTCCTATTACTTGTGCTTCTGTATTTAGTTTCAGGCAAGAGACCCAAACGTCCTGTGCATTTTGGTCAAAAGTGCATTTGAACTTACCGTTCTTTGTGTTTCAGTATCATGTATAATGTGACGCCAATCAAGAAGATAAGAAGAAATGCACCTACAGAAATACCTAGGAAAAAAATATCTAGTATCAAATGCCAGACAAATGTGACCTATTTGTTTTGAACATATTATGGGGGCCTGTTGCTAGTGGTGGGGAAGATGTTATGTGACTCTTACACTTACCCCTTCTTGGCCATAAATACTGAATTCCTGAATAACCATACTTGGACTTAAGATTTTTCTAATTCGATCCGGTTCACGTTAAATGAAAAGCACCAAGCCCATAACTAGGGGTTCCTGACATCTTTTCATTGAGTTTTTATGTTCCTTTCAGTTTTATTATCAATATTCATGTCACTGATGTGAAATTAGGAGCACAGGAGAAAAGATTCTCATAATTGTGTAGAGCAACGTTTAACTCTCAATTGTGAAATACATTTTGCCACAGCAGAGTAAGTTTCCCTATTTCAATAGTACCAAATCATGCAAAAGACCAGGAGTTGATGAAACGAAAATACTGATTAAGGAGAAGGAATAGCTGGTTATTCAAATTATTTATCGAACTCTATTTCAAGGTTACATTTTGTAATGCCACATGCCTATTAAAATATCCTACAACACACACAAAAAGATCATTTCCAATGAGTTAAAGTTAAAAAATATTAACGTAAGATACAGGGCCTCTAGTTTTATGTATTTGTATAAAACAGCATAAGAACTTTTCCTTTTTTTAATTGTTTGAGATTCATTGAGGGTATAAAAAGTTGGGTTATCCTGATTGCATTTGTCAGGTAAATTCCCTATAAGAGCTCTTCTTGAAGAATTTAAGAAAACTTACCACAAAGAAGAGGAGCAAGTGTACCTATGGAAAACACAAAATCATGAAAATTTCAGTCCAGTAGCATGATTCAATGTAAGCCTAAGTTCCATAGTAATGTCCCAGAAGTCAACACTCAGCTCCCTCCTAAGTTTATTTAAAAGATATATTGGAATCCTGAGTTGTGTCACATTTTTGTCATGTAACTCACTGGATGGACTTCCTTCCTTCCGTCTTCCCTCCTTCCCTCCCCTCCCTCTCCCCTTCTCTCCCTCTCTTCCTTCCTTTCTCCCACCCCCTTCCCTCCCTCCCTTCCTTCCTTTCTAACCTCTTTCCTTCCTCTCCCTTCCCCCTTCTCTCCTTTCCTTTCCTTCCTCCCTCCCCCTCTCTTCTTCCCTCCTTTCTTCCCTCTTTTCCTTTTCCCTTCCCTTCCCTTCCCTTCCCTTCCCTTCTTTCCATTCCTCCCCCTTCTCTCCCTCCCTCCCTTCCTTCCTTCCTTCCTTCCTCCCCCTCCCTTTCTCCCCTTCTCTCCCTTCCTTCCTTCCTTCCCTTCTTTCCTTTCTTCCTCTCCCCATCCTCCCTCCCTCCATCTTCTCTCCCTTCCATCCTTCTTTCTTTTCTTCCCCACCTCCTCTCTCCCCCTTCTCTCCCTTTCTCCCTTCTTTCCCTTCTTCCTGCCCCATCCTTCCCTCCCTCCCCCTTTTCTCCTTTCTTTCTTTCCTTCCTTCCTCTTTTCCTTTCTTCTTCCCTCCCTCTCTCCCTCCCTCCCCCTTCTTTTCCTTCCTTCCCTTTCCTTTCTTCCTCTCTCCCTCCCTCCCTTCTGTCCTTCCTTCCTTCCTTCTCTCCTTTTCGCACTTTAATCAGGTAGGTTGAGGGAGTTCATGAATGGAAGAACTCCTCAATATATTCAGCTTTATAATCAGAGCTTAGAATGCAAATATTAATAGTTATATGTGGTACAGGAAGTAGGGCAGTCTCCACAGCCAACTCCTTTCAAAATGTACGGTGGTGAGTTTTGCATTTTGGTTCCTTTTAAGTTAGTGTTCCTCTATATTTTCTTTTATTAAATATTTACTCCTTCCTCCTCAGAAAGCTTTTTTCTTTCTGAGATTAGACCACCAACTTCAAGTTCCTTTACTATTGTAGTAACGGTCTCAGACCTGTGTCAATTTAAAAGCCCAGAGTCTCCACATGGAGGGAGACCCCTCACTCTCTTGTCTCCATGGGCCCCTTACAAGCAGGAATGAAGCCTTTAGCACTTACGGGACCTGCAGACAGCCAAGGGAGGGTTCCACTGATGGTCTGCCTGACACTGGCTCTGAGGACTGCCTTCCAGCGTATACCCCTCTTCACACTCCAGGGTTATGACAGCTCCATACTGATACATTTTCCTGGGCTCCAGCCCCTTCTGGATTCCGTTCATGTTTGCTGGAGAGCTGCAGTTTACCTCTGAAATTAAAGGAATCTAACTGAGGCAGAGTCATATTTTGCTATTTTACCAAGAGAGCCGAGACTATCCTTATTACAAAGGTTTATGAAACTGACGCACTTCATTCTCAGCAAGAAAAGCTTTGTTGAAATAGCATAAGACAATATCCTAGGCATAGTCTTGAAGTGTCTGCTCTTTATCTCAGTAACTTCTAGGTAGTTTGAGCCAGATTATTTTCTTTCTTTCTGCTTCAGTTCTATGTTGTATACTTTAAGTTCTTTTTAGAGACATGCTGAGGGTTGACTGGGTCATATTCACTATTCTGAACTGCTGCTTTACCTGCTTCTATTTTTTTTTTTTTTTTTTTGAGACATAGTCTAGTCTCACTTATTGCTCTTGGTAGAGTGCTATGGTGTCACAGCTCACAGCAACCTCCAGCTCTTGGGCTTAGGCAATTCTCTTGCCTCAGCCTCCTGAGTAGCTGGGACTATAGGCGCCTGCCACAATGCCTGGCTCTTTTTTGTTGCAGTTTGGCCAGGGCTGGGTTCAAACCTGCCACCCTCAGTATATGGGACCGGCGCCCTACTTACTGAGCCACAGGTGCTGCCCCCACGTCCCATGTTACTAATTCCTCACACCTGTGGTGCTTTCTCACTCCTACTTTATGCTGTGTAGGGGTCAATAGTGCCAGATCTTGGATTTGAATCTTGACTCTAGTCTAGAACTTACTTTCAGTGTCACATTTAGTGTGACTCTCGGTGGGTTACAAATCTCTCCATGTTACTAGAACCTCATCTATAAAACAGGGGTAATAATGGCACCAAGGTGGCTCTAATGAAGACTAAATCATAAAATGCTGGGCACACAGCATCTGGCATAGAGTATAATGCGCTCAGTGAAAGATAGGAGCTTACTAGTTATATTTCACATGCATCGTTTATGATAATGAAAATGACTTTCTGAAACTTTCATTAGAGATTGACCCATCCTTCCACCATGCCTCACAGGAAATATACTCAAAAGATCATCCCTTTTTACAGGCATGTTGTCAGGTTCACATTTATCATAACTGTCCCTGCAGCGTCAATACACTCCAGGCTCTTGTTGCTTCAGTTACAAAAGCACTTAATCTTTCTCTATGGAAATGACTAGGTAGATAACAGCCTAAGCTATTTTTCTGATTTTGAGATATTTAGATTCATGAGAGCATTAATCCAATTAAATGACCCAAATAATGCATTTCTTTGATGATTTTAAGAACAAAGTACCTAACTAAATACATTCATTTGGCACAAATTTGATTTAAGAATAGATAAAAATGGATAAAGCACCTTTACAATAAGGGGCAGGTTGGCTCCAGGTTCCCTCATACGTGCAAAGAAGGAGTGCCTCTCCCACCAGCAGGTAGCCTGGATCACAGCTGTACTGGATGGACATTCCAGGGAAAAACTCAGCTGTATCGCCACCAGTATGATTCCCGTTGGGGGTCTTGGATGGAGGTTGACACCCTAAGAAAGCTTACACACCAAAAAGAAAGGGCCTTTAAGTCAGCACAGAGGAACACACAGCCACCACTGTGTGTCTGAGTGGTGGTGATACTGAAAGGCAGCAGGTCCCAAGTCAAATAGTTGGTTTCCAAAAACATTCATTCATTGCGCCCAGACCAACTTCCTGTCTATGTCATCTATGATCAGAAGAGAAGTGTCAAAAGTAAAAACAATGAAACATCAAAGGCTGCGGTTCACAATTGTCATCCATCAGCCAACAGTATTCTTTTCTTTTCCCTTTAAATAGCAGGCGGGCTGTCTCTAAGGGTTACACATTTAGATGATTACAGGAGATAGGAAGTAAAGCCGCCAGGCGTGTAAACTCAGAGAGCCCCATCCTTCTAAAAGTGGCAGCCACTGCTCAGCTGGAGTCACTGGTAAAGGGGCCCTCACGGCCTGCAGATTCACTGTCTACCTTGGCTGAAGATGGGTTTCACTTAAAATAAGAGACTACCATGCTGGCCAAAGAAAAAAGTTTGGGGTCACCAATTGTCAGCCTCTGCTGTAGTCACTGAAAAGAATGAGTATGCCAAATCATAACGAAAATCACAAGGAAGATAATTCGGTGGATTTGAAGGCCAGCTTTCTTCTCCAGAACACCCAAAGTCCTCTTTCTGGCTAGTTTTATAATATCAAATTATCAAGTAATGTTACTGCCAAATAGTTTCCCAAAAAAAAGAGCATGTGCATTTTTCTTATTCCAAATTCATAAGAACAATAAATTCGGAAGGCAATCGATCAATTTGGAAGGCAACCATCATCCTTTCCTGTGTTATTACACAACACACTAAGAAAGGAAGGAGAAAAAGAATCGGGTGAGAAGATAAGAAAAGGCAGATACCGCGAAAAACAATATAACTGCCTTAACTTTTAGATGCTTCTCTTCAGACAGAATGGCAAGTGCAGGTTCAAAACCTTTTTCTTTATTCTGTACAACAACCCACATTTTGTCCCTTAAAATGTCTTACCCTTTCTGATACATGTTGGTACACCTGGAACCCAAGTGTTATCCGTATGACACTTAATCAAGTGACTGCCGTTCATGATGAAGCCACGGTTGCAGGCGACATACACCATGTCATTGTGGGAATATGCAGACTGAGTTTCATTGAGCTTGTATCCATGTTTGATTTCTGGGTTAGGGCAATGAGTTACGGCAGGAGATTCTACGCACTGAGGGGGAGGTCCACTCCAAGATCCATGCCCTTTAGAATCATTTCTGCACTGTAAGTTTTTCTCTCCCACAAGATAGAATCCCTGGTCACATTCATAAGAGACTTCATTTCCATATAGAAAGTGTCCTGCCATCATGCCTGAGTGCCTCCCATTGTCAATCACTGGTGGAGGTTGACAGTGAATAACTGCAGGAGAGATGTAGGGAATCCACGTTAGCTAGTCCCTCAAGGCAGGTAGATGGCCTTCAGTCAGGTACAAATGACACTACTACATAGCTGCTCATATTTCACATGACTGGAAAATGATTCCAATTTTGGAATCTGAATTATGCTTTTCTAAAAGTTTACTAAATGTTATAATTACATGGGTAATGTATACTCATTTCAAAAGATTTCAGGAAATACTGTACAGTATTAAGAAAGAAAGAAATACAGTTCCCACGCCCTAGCAATATGGGTTATGTATTTCTTATTGTTCCCAAAATAGTTGCTACTTGACGATGCTGTTTCCCAGTGCCAGTGCTGACCAAGATAAGATTTTTCTTATCTTACTTCCCCTGAAGAAGAACCCAAAGGCTTCTGTAGAAGCAGTCACAGCTAGCTGGCCTATCTCACCCTCTCCCACCACTGTCAGGTTTTTTGGGGTTTTTTTTCTAACTTACCTTGACAAAGTGAATTTTTTTGGAACCAAATCCTATTCTCAGTATCTTGACACTTCTGAAGAGCATATCCAGTGAACTGGTACCTACAGAGAGACAGATGACATTTCCTTTTCCCAATATCAGATTTCTGCAACAAGCCTCTTTAAACCACAAACTCAGAGAGACTTTTAAACAAGAAATTTGGAAGGCAGGGCTTAAAACTCTCAGCCTTCCAGATAAGAAACTACTTTAGACTTTAGAGGTACTCACCGCAAAGCCCTTTCCATGTCAAGAATGGACTGACAACTCAGAGTTGCTAGTTAGGGCATTGGAACCTCACGTTCTCTGTGCATACGACAAGGAGGAGCCTCTGAAGGGAATCACCCAGGAGAGCTCAGGGTAGAGTCAGTATGCAAAACAAGACCCTTCCTCAGACTATTATCTCTTACCCATCTGGACAGGAGGTATTAACCAGTTCCACACGGGAATCAGCCGGAACTTCCCGAAAGTCCTCTCTCACAGGCTGACAGGCTTCTGGAGGAGCAAAAAATGGAATAACAGTCTTTATAGAGGCCTCATATCAAAGGCAAAGACGACTCTGGAACTGAAAGTACCTTCGCACCGTGGGGCAGAAGGACTCCAATTTCCCGAAGGCATACAGCGAATGGATTTGTTTCCCAAAAGCAAGTAGCCAGGGTCACAAGTGTAGTCTACAGTCATCCCAGAGACAAAGAGGACCGTATTTCCACCTGTGTGCTGACCGTGGTGGAGCCCAGAGGGTGGCTGGCAGCCTGAAGAGAAAACTCCCCACATAAACACCAACACAAGGATTTCAACTCAAGAACATCACATATACAACATTTCACAGCAGACAATCTGTAACTTTTTTTTTTTTTTTTTTGACACAGAGTTTTACTCCATTGCCCAGACTAAAGTGCTATGGCATGAGCCTAGCTCACAGCAACCTCAAACTCCTGTGGTCAAAGGAACCTCCTTCCTCAGCCTTTAGAGAAGCTGAGAGAGACTACAGGCACCCACCACCACAGTGCCTGGCTAATTTTTCTATTTTTAGTAGAACTGGAGTCTCACTTTTGCTCAGCCTGGTCTTGAAATCCTGAGCTCAAGGGATCCTCTTGCCTTGACCTCCCAGAGTACTAGGATTACAGGTGTGAGCCACTGCGCCTGACCAGCAATTGGTAACTTTAAAGCCGAAAATCATGAAGCTCTAATTCATGTGAATTCTAATTCAACTGAATGCTGTCTGCTCCTTTGGAGGAACTAGACCCCTTTAGGAAGGTCCTCTTGTTATCTGCCCTGAATAGATGATCCTAGCTCCAAGGGACCGTTTACACAAAGAACACACAACCCACAGAACATTCTATTACAGAATGGAAGACATGGAAAGTAATCTGTGCCCCTCGCCCTTTTCCATAATATAGCTTCAGGTGGGAGATAATACCATATATAAGAATTAAGTAAATATTTCTTTCTTTTTACTTATTGGGTTTTTACCTTTTTCACAAACTGGAATTTCAGGATCCCAGGTGTTATTGGCTTTGCACCGAATCTTACTGCTGCCCTTCAAAGTAAATCCATTATTACACTTGAATGTCACACTGTCATTATAGAAATATGGAGCCTCTTTGCCAGACATCTTGTATCCATTTTCAATGTGGACATGTGAGCATTGGACAGCAGGGATGGAAAGGATGCAGCGGGGAGCAAGGCCACTCCAGGTGCCTCTTTCCTGATCATTGCTTATACAGCGGATGGTGCTCTCTCCAACGAGGCTGAATTGCACTTCTCTCTCTGGCCCAGGATTACATGTGTAAGTGACTGTGGTTCCATATGGAACATCTTCTGAGGAGCTCCCTGTGTGCATCCCATTGTCGATGGCAGGGGGTGGTGGGCAGGTGATTTCTGGAGAGATGAAAAGGTATTATGAGATTCTATTCCAGTATCAAACACCAAAGGACAGAAATGAACCTGTTGTTTCCTGGAGAGTTTGGGTACATTTTAGATCAAAGCTCATTATCCATGTAAAATTCAATTTAGACATAGTTCACAGGAGAAAAACTCTTTACTGAAACTGTACATGCTTGATCAATATCACATTTTGAGGCAGTAAGGCCCAGTAGTAGATTGCTACTTAAAAGCACAAGCACAATGTTCTAAATAGCCAATGGGAGAATAAAAGAAACAGGAGGATAGAATTATGCTTTCTTGAGTACCATCTTTGTTCTGGGGCGATATAATAGTTCATATGGTACTAATTGAACACCTATTTTGTTACATGCACTTTCCTCATCTAGAAAGTAGGGAGAGTACCTTTTAATTCTAATAATTTTTAAGTCTTAAGTCTCACGCCAACCTTGACAGGCTAGACTTTCAGAAGCGTTATGTAAATTGCCCAAGCTTGTACACTTCTTAGCAGTAGAAAAGGAATCTGAGATCAGACCAATCCCCTGATTTCTCCATTGAACTATGGTGTACCCAAAATTAAGATGGCTCATATACTCGCTGTTCTCATGATTCTTATTATTCTAAATTACAAAAGAGAATCAGTACCTAAGTACATACCACATAACTGATTTAAGCAGGAAAAGATCACAATAGAAAGGCATGGCAAAATTGTGCAACTGTAACTGTAGGCAAACGTAATAGAACGGAATCAAATACTGCAACTTCCATAACACGCCTTAAAATAGAAATAGATCTCACAAGATTTCAGCTCCTATGTCATTTTTGCTACTCACCATCACAAAGACGATTCTCCATAAACCAAGGAATTGTGCCTTGACACTGCCAGTAAACACTTTTACCTAACCGGTACCTAAAGACAAAACATCATGTCATTTTGCCACCAGGTGACCACTAAGCTAAGCAAGAGCCGTTGGCTGTAAAGCAGACTTGCCACTTTCAGGACAAAAAGCAACAGAAACCAAACATAGCCAACATCAGCATACACTGCACAGGCACAGTTTCCGTGCATGGAAAAATAGTGTGGTTGACACTTCCAGGAACACGTGACAGGCGAGAACCTTGAGGTAAACCCTTACATAGAGCTTGCAGTGTGCACTTATAAGCCAGACCTGGTTTAGGCTGAGACACACTTCACTCACCCTTCTTTGCAAAAAGGGTTAACATGTGGTCTAATAAATTGATCCTCGGGTTTTGTAAAGAGCTCCTTTCCTACTCGTTTACACTCTGCCACTAAGAAAAAAGACTAGGATTAGAAATCAACTCAAGGCAATGTTAATACTGGCAAAACATCTACATTTGAGACCTGGCACCTTTGCACTGGGGGGCACTGGGTGTCCACTCTCCATCAGGGCTACAATGTATGGATTCTTTTCCCACTAGCACATAGCCAAGGTCACAACTATATTTTATCGATGTTCCAGGATCAAAGCGGAACACCCCGTGTTTATCTTCCTTTTGCCCATTGAGGATTTCAGGAGGAGCCTGGCATTCTAAAGAAAAAGAAACAAGAACAAAAACTCCTTAAGTAAACAAGAAGAGAAGGAAACAAGGCCAAAGGAATTACCATTATTATGACAATTCCACTCTGGTGGCAGTTGAATGATACAGAAGATACCTTGTAGCTCAGGTTTGGGTCATTTTAGAACGGTATTTCTCAATCTCTTTTTCTTTTCTGCACTTAGACTGCTGCAAGATTTTGTTCAATTCCCACTCGGTGCTATAACTCCTCATTTGTGTCTTCCCTTTTTTTTTTTTTTTTTTGCAGTTTTTGGCCGGGGGAGGGTTTGAACCCGCCACCTCTGGGATATGGGGCCAGCACCCTACTCCTTTGAGCCACTGGCACTGCCCTCTTTTTAAGGAATCATCTTGTATGCTTTTATGGAAGATTCTGATATACCCCTGGGATAGAGACTTCTCTTTTAAGGAATCCCTAAGACAAATAAGAACTGTTCTGCCAGTTATTTTTACCCCTAAAGAAATGGGCAACTTCATGATTCCTTATGTTTTTCCCAAGCATATTCTCACAAAATGCAACAATGGTAAGGGGAGGGTGTTAAGAAAGCCCTTTATAAAATCCATATTCACTATATTTAGTAGAGTTGAGGGGATTAGACACTGGAAAATGCTCTGCTTAAAACCCAAAATCCCTTCTAATTTTTTAAAAGATGCATCAACAGCACTTTCTCTGAGTACACTCACCCTTTTCGCAGACTGGGGCTGGTGGCTCCCATGTGCCTTGGACATTACATCGGATTTGTTTGCTACCCTTCAAGGTGAAGCCAGACATGCAAGCAAATACCACAGTGTCATTATATGTGTATTGATCTTTCCATGCAGTTAATATTTCGCCTCTTAGGATCTGGGGATATGGACAATTGACCGCTGGTGTAGAAAGTTCACAGCGTGGGGCAGGGCCACTCCAGGTCCCGATCTTCTGACTATCACTTGTACAACGAATAATGCTCTGCCCAATAAGGATGAACTTCACTCCTTCCTCTGGGTCTGGGTCACAGGTATAAGTGACTGTTCTTCCATATGGAACATTCCCGGAAGAGTGGCCTGTATGTCTTCCATTGACAATAGAGGGAGGTGATGGGCAAAGAATTTCTAAGAAAATTACAGAAAGAAATGACAAGATCACAATATACTATAAACAAAGAATGCCTCGGATGCTCCTTGCTACCACTCCCACATCTTAGAACGGTGTAATATGAATCTGTAACGAATCAATCAAGGCAGCTCAGGCAATATAATTTAAAAGCATGATTTTAAAGCTTCATTCTTAAGTACATCTACTCTGTTGATCTTTTGATTTTTTTAAATCAAATATGCAATTTCCCTTTATGTACAGCATCTGGTTGCCTACTTAGCAATTCTACATAACTGTCAGAGAAGCAAAATCCCAGGAACTCTGTATTACTTAAGGAAGCAGAGAATAAGGGGGGTAATTGAAGGATGCTTCAGTGAAGATGATACCTGAAAGTGTCCTAGTTCTTTGGTCAATAAGAGTCTTCATGATAACAATTAAACCAAAAGCTTTTAGTTAAGCTGAAACTGCAGTGTCCTATGGGACCTCCAACCAAGGGACAAACCACAATTTGTTCCTTGCAAACCACAGTTGCCTTACGTACCTTTACATTCTGGCATTTTGGTCCAAACAGCTTGCTGTCCAGCAATTACACACTGACTGGAAGATTGGCCTTGTAATCGATACCTGGAGACAGAGGGTTGTCATTCAGAACTATGGGGCAGATGGTGCTGAAGAACAGCAGCCTCTACCTAAAATCCAAGACGAGCTCACTTAACTGATGTGCATCCTTCCAGCAGCATCACCTCTCACGCTCTCACCCCAGGCTGTCCACAGACCCTCACAGAGGAGGCTTCTGCAAGTTCCTCGGTTCACATCATGCACATATAACTCAAATATATAAATGTGTCTTACAGACCCACTGGAAACTCACCCTTCATTACAGGAAAAGTTCACAGTTACGCCAGCCCGAAGACTTGGTGGCATCTTTACCTGCCCATTGAGAAATTGTCCTGGAGGTTCACACTCTGCCTCTAAAAATGCAAGCCAAAGATGAGAAAAGCATGCAAATCACAGCACAGCTCAAATTCTTAAAATAATGTGTAAATGTTGGATACCTTTACATGTGGGAGCAACAGCACTCCAGTCCCCCGTAGAAGAACAGTGAATGACCTTTTCTCCAACAAGCAAATAACCAGGTTCACAGCTGTATGTCACAGACAATCCTGGGGCAATGGAGCCCACATTCTCCCCCGTGTGATATCCATTGGGGATCATGGGAAGTGGCTGACACTCCAGAGGAAAATCTTAACACACACACACAACATACACATCAGGAAAAAAGCCATCAGATGATGCATCTCTCACAACCTAGATGTTGACTTAAGACATAGATCCAAGTGAATGACACGTGTGTGATGTATGGTAACTGCTTGTGCTTACCTTTCAACCCAGACTCCTAAAGATCAAACAGATGTGGCTTCATTGTATCCATATTATGCCACAAATAGTACAGTATTTTACATTTTTAGTTACACTATATGAATTATATTTGCCTTGTGAAAATTTCAATACTCAAAAAAGTCAATTTTCACCCATATTCTCACCCTATCCTCAAGCCTATTCTCTGTACCAAAAATAGTAAGCTATCATTTAGAGCAACGATATTCAACTGGTGTGCAGGGAAAATTTTTAAAGATCACTCATTAAATTATTTTTGAAAGATGTTCAAAGTACAGTTAAGTGTATTCTTTTTTTTTGATCTACATAATTTAAGTGTGCCGTGGAAGTTTAACTATAGGTTCAAGTGTACTGTGAGATAAAAAAGGTTGAAAAACACTGATTTAGAGAGTTGTCCTGGCAGACTTTGGTAAAATATTAATAGTTTATTGGGATCCTATATGTAACATGTATATACACATATATTGTCTGTGTACCTACATATTATTTTATCCCTTGTTCCTCTTACTTAGTAATATGCCCATGATGATATCTTTTCCTGTCAATACGTATACATCTACCTAAATCTTTATAAAGGCTTGTTTTCTGTAGCCACTCCATTTTGTGAGTATCCTAAGATCTACCTCTAAGACTGTTTATCAATAGATTGATCAACAGAATCCTATTTTTAATCATTTTGGAGTTTTTCAGTTCTTATACTCCACTTAGAATTTCTCAATATTGTTCTCTATTAAGAAAATAAATATCTATTCTGATGGTATAAACTTTTTTCCAAATACTGCCAGTTCTTGTAATTGTAGAATTGAAATTCGTATTTAGATTTCTGCAGCAACATAGACAAAACCAAATAAAAAGGAATGAAGGATTTATACTCATCCCTGCTTTCAAAAGCATTTGATTGGAAATGTGATGGCTTAGGAGATGAGCTGGAGAAAAACTGAATCACTTCTGAGCATGTTTAGAAGACCACAGGACAGAGCATCACCTCTGCCAGACCTTATGAACAGCTATTTATAGATGAGTTTTAAATCCACTGGGTGTATTTTTACTAGTGGAGCCCACTTTTCTCACATTTCTTCTCCCTTTCACAGAAACCTGGATAGACAGGTTAAAACCCCCCCATTCCCATTGCCCCAACAAACTCTCACCTCATTCTGTGAGACTTAATCTACTTGGTTATTAGGTATGTTCAGTTACATTTTCCATTATACTTCAAATTACCTTGCTCAAAAAATTAATGCTTTTTTCAATGATGAGTTATATTCTGCCACAACTAAGAAAAAAAAATATCCAGGACACCGTAATTTTCCCCTTTTCTCTTGCTTCCCCCTCCCACCCTGTCAGCACACATTCATGCTGTTCTTCCTCCAGGAGGGTTCAAAATGTGTGTGCAAGACCCCAGCCTTTCCACTCAGTTTGATTTTTATACTCACCACTCTCACAGGTTGGTAGTTGTGTCGGCCCCCATTTTTTATTCGCTTGGCACCAAACGGTTTTGTTTCCTTTCATGGTAAAGTTGGCTGCACAGGCAAATGTTACAGAATCACCGTGTCTGTATGGTGGTCTGAAGCTTTTAATTTTGTACGCCCGTGGTACTGTGGGCTCGGGGCACATAGCATGTTTATTGTGGTATTCACATATAGGAGCAGCCTTATCCCAGACTCCTTGCACTTGGTCTTTACTTATGCAAAACATAGTTTTTTCTCCAATGATGCGGAAGCCATAGGAACAACTGTACCTTATGATGGTACCAAGAGCTATGGGTTCAGAATACTGACTGTGCCGACCATTGTGGATAGGAGGAGGAGGGCCACAGGAAATCCCTGGAAAGCAGAAAAGAACACTGTAGACAAACCAATCATAACAATAAAAAGATATAAACTTAGATAAAGGATCCAAACACAGGTCATATCACTTTTTTAGCAACAGACATTTGTCTAATTTCTTTCTTACTCATAGTCCCTGCTTATACCTAAGCTCCTAAATTCCTACCTCTTTCTTGATTCTCAGCAAATAAATTATAAACTGTTTTGATTAAGCAAAGAAACAATGCATCTAAAAGTTCTGAATCTAATCAATTTTAATGAAGAAACAAAAGGTAAATTTAGCACATAAAAATAACACATTAATTACATGATAATTACATGGGGATGTACTAGGGACTAAGGAAACTTGAGCTCAGTAGGCCTGGCTTTAAATACCCACTGTCTCAAAGTAGGGCTGTGTACACTGGATACTTTTTCTTCCACTCTTGAGATACTTTGCTAAGAAGAACATTTTCCAATTCCATCCATATAAACATGAAGGAGGTAAAGTCTCCATCCTTCTTTAGGGCTGCATAGTATTCCATGGTGTACATGTACCACAATTTATTGATCCATTCGTGGGTTGATGGGCATTTGGGCTTCTTCCATGACCTAGCAATTATGAATTGGGCTGCAATAAACATTCTGATACAAATATCTTTGTTGTAATTCGATTTTTGGTCTTCTGGATATATACCTGATAAAGGAATTGCAGGATCAAATGGCATGAAACTAATTCATAGCTTTTATAGGAATGTCATAACCTAACTGTAGCCTTAGAATATGGGAAAGGGGTGGAAGGGGGAGGTGAGGGGGTGGATGAGGGGAGGGAGGGTGATTGGTGGGGTCACCTCTATGATTTATCTTACAAGGGTACAAGTGAATCTTTCTAAAAGCAGAGTATGAACATTTTAATTCAATAACTAAGAAAATGACATGAAGGTTATGTTAACCAGTTTGATGATAGTATTTCAAAATGTATATGAAAACAGCACACTGTACCCCATGATTGCATTAATGTACATAGTTATGGTATAAGAAATAAAATAAATAAATACCCACTGTCTCTTGGTAGCTGTGTGATCTTAGGCAAGCCTAATCCTCTTTAAGCCTCAGTTTCCCAGTCTTTAGTATAATTCAAGCTACTTCGTAAGGTGTGGTGAGAATCCACGGCTACATGTATGTGAACAGGGCAGCATAGCATACTAATTATTCAATGGCTGTTTTAAACACACACCTGGGGCTACAGATGGTACAACCACATTTAGTCCTGGCACTAAAGGTGCTACAGCCTCACTATACGTCATTTGTCATCCTCTGACCCCAGAATCCCTTGAAAAAGTCACCAGAAGTGAACAGAAGTTTTGTGTAAAGACCTCATATCCTACACTTATTTGTCTTAATTAGCATGATGGATATTATTTGCCTAAAGCTACTTCAGTATGGGCACACTTTTTCTAAGTGAATCTCAGAATAAAGGGAAAACTTCCAACCTCCAGAACTGCTAGTTAATTTCACCTTGCTTCCAAGAAGATGTCTTCAATAGAAGAACTGGCTTAAAAAGGCACAGCCAAATTGTTTTAGCACATCAGTGCTAACGTTGGTTTTAGTAAAAGTAACTTTTGAGAACCTTTAAGTTTATACTTACAGGATCTGCAGTATAATAATATATAATCAGCTAAATAAATATGTCATTTTGGCGTACATTCTAGAACATCGAAAAGAGCGGCATATGTATGTTCAAAGCACACATAATATGTTGTAATTGGTAAATGCACAAGAACACTAAAATTCAAGAGGCAAGATCCTCTTGAATATTTGTTTTGTTTTCTGCTCCAGCTCAAGGACATGAAATGTATTATGTCAGAGTGCTGCCATTCCTTCTGGAACACACTGACTAGAAGATTTGTTATTTAGCTGGAACCTTAAACAATAATGGGCAGCAAATCATCACTAGAACAAACCAATTTTCAGTTGCGGAAGGAATTAATGACTTCTCTCAGTAGATGGTATGAATGTGTTCTGTATTTTTAAGCATTTCCGGTGAAGAGATCAAGAGACCTCCTGAAAGAGCCCTCCCTTGTTTCCCTTGATTAAATACCCCTAGACCGAGACCTCCTAGACTCGGCTTCTCCTGCTTCCCCTGCAAACCCCTCCCCTGCTTCCTTCCCCTGTGTCCTCAGATCCCCAACGGACTCCCTCCAACGCCCCCTCCCCAACGGCATCCCATTCCCCTCCCCTGAGTCGGCAGTTTGATTTTCCCTGCTCTTCTCTCCCGTTTTGTCAGTTTACCCCCCTGTTTTGGCAGTTTACTCTGTGAAATATAAGCAGCCTGTAACAGCTTTTAGAGGTTCCTCTCCGAACGGAGGTGGCTTCTCCGCGTGGCTGAGGGACCCTGGCGCACCAGAATAAACACCTCTTGCGTTTTGCATCGACTGAGTGTGGTGACTGATTCTTGGGATGTAGCTCTATACCTACTGGACCCCATGAGCCAGGGTCCAACACTGGCTTATGGAAAAAGGGTCATTTGTGATTCAGCCAAGTTACATGATGACTTCAGACTAGGAAGAAACAAGAGAGGGGAAAAATCTAATCAATTTTATCCTATTTTGAATTCTTCCTCTTCTCTTTGGCATCCAGGTGTCAAGGTTCTTTTGATCATCTAGAACAGGCATCCTCCAACTATGGCCCTTGGGCCACATGAGGCCTGCCAAGGACATTTATCTGGCCTGCTGGGTGTTTTTGCCGCTGCTGCCTGCCCTGCTTAGCAGCCGACTGACTCATCCTGGGGGCCCGCAGTTCACCTGTCTGAGGGACAGTGAACTGGCCCCCTGTTTAAAAAGTTTGAGGATCTAGAAGAAAAAGGCCACCTTTCATAATGAAGAAAATGTTGAAGACCTGTTCCCCAAGTTCACCCAAGAGACCCTCTTACTGAACCCCAAATCATTTATTCATTCACCATAGCAGGGGCCTTCACTTTTGAACCAAAGTTTTGCTTTTCAAATGATGAAG